TTTTTTATCACCTTCATTATTAGCTTGCATGAGGGTGCTTATCAGAGCCGGTCTCGGCCCTAAGAAAATGAGGGTAGGAAAACAACGTTCAAATCAGACCTCCATTATTACATGCCCAGTTCTTTAGAGTTCTCTCAGTTCTGTATCACAACACCCTCAAACGAAGCTCTTTGTATAGAACGAATAAGAATTTAAAGCAGATTCCGCAGCCTTTGGATGACCGGGATCTGTAGCATAGGTCAGATGGAAAGATGGGCTACAGTGGTTTTGTTGGGAAGGTTCAAACGAGGGCCCACTCTCCATAGGGGGTTTCTTCTCTCTGGCCACAGCACCTTTAAAAACATTTCTCTGAGTAGCTGTTGATCATGGAGAGCATCAAAGCCAGCCAGCAGTCCCATGATCGCATCAAGCTCTGCGGTTTCTGTGGGAACCCCTCCCCGACAAGCCTCACTTTGTTCTATGAACATCAGCTCACGAGCTCCTGGGCTAAGCCTGCATCTACTCACACACACATGTCCACGCCTTATGGGTGCCTAACAGTCTCCTTCCCTAAATTAATCCCACTGTCTGACTTTTTAATGCTCCATTAAGGGCTGCTGTGTCTTAATGGTAAAACAAACAAAACCTACATCTCATCATGTGGACAGGGGTAGCCCCAAGTGTCTATTCACTGACAGCTCTTCCACTGGCCTTGTCTTGTCTCACACTGTCCTTGACCCGCCCTTGACTTCCCTTCTCTTACTTCCTCAGCAGAGGCTGTTGTAAACTTTCTCTCCCTCCTTCAGACACGTGGTTTCCCCACTCCTGAACTCAACCTACCAGCAAGCTTATTGGCTCCTCCCCTACCTTTTTCCTCTTTATCTTTCCAATCCAGGGGCACAGAGCTGCCCCCACCACTCTCCCCAGGAGCCCTGAACCATTAACCACTGTTCTCTGGTCTGAATGTTCTCTTTTCTGGTCTTGACTTTTGTATTCGCAAATATTAATTGCACTATGGAACACCATGGCATTTCCACACATGGATATAATAAGATATTATGACCATATCCCATTTTTCTTGTCCCCAGTTCTCATCATCTCCTTCCTCTGCCCAACTGGTCCCTTTGTTTTCTTTATTCTAAATGACTCAGTGAGTTTCATCAGGATTGCTTTTCAGGACTATGAACACCTTGCCAGTCTCTTCCCTTCTGAATTGAATTCCTTCCTTAGCAGGGAGGGGTGGGGGCCTCAGCCTCCAACCCCACCTCTTGCTGTGGTCTGAAAGGTCTATCTCTCATTGTTGCCTCATCTGTTTCCTTAGTAACATGGAATCTTTTGAATCTCCTACCAGCTCTCTAGCCCTTTGTCCTGTCAGTATTTGACTAAAGGTCCTTACCCTGCAACAGTCTAACTGGGAGATGGAGCCCCACCGGTTACTTCAACTCAGAGCTTTTATCACTAAAGAATCATGAACTCATAAAACATTCACCTGACAGCGAGAAGGCAGAAGAACCCTCAGGTCAGATCTAGCACAGTGGTTCCTATAGGAAACCACTCCATCTTTTCTGCCAAGGGAACACAGGAGGAGGGAGGCTTGCGTTGTTAAAGCCAGAACTCTGAAAGAAAGTCTCTGGACCCAAACCCCAATCTCAGAAGGAAAGGACAGGTGACAGAATTAGAGTCCCTAAATGGAGAACCTGGCTCTGTGGGTACTTTTGTAATGCTGGTATGTGGTGAGGCTGGAGGCCCGGAAGATGAATCTATGGTCCGGGGCACTTGCTGCTCTTGCAGAGGACCTGGGTTCAGTTTCCAGCACCTACATTAGGTGCCTCACAATGGCCTGAAACGCCAGTTCCAGGGGGGCAGGGATCTGATACCCTCTTCTGGCCTCTAGAGGTACCTGCACAAATATGGCATGTACACACACACACACACACACACACACACACACACATGCACGCACGCGCACACATCTCTAACATACTATGTTGTGGCAGGCTCTTACTATTTCCCTCCTTTAGCTTCCACTCTTCTTCCATCCCAAGAGCCTAAGAAAAGTCCACGAGAAACTGGCACATGAGAAACCTGGTCTACAAGCCAAGCTCCAGCATCAGAAAGCAATCATGGAGGGTGAATTTGGAGCAATAGATAGAAATTGGCCTCAACCCCATAGCCTCAAATACTTCTGAATACATATAAACCTATTTCCTGAGCCCAATAGCCTCTCTGGAGCCCCAGACTCATTTAACTAGGCCTCTGCTGGAATCGTTATTTGGATGCCCCGCTTTGACATCAAATGTAAGACACTCCAAACTGCATTCATCTTTCTCCTTCCCATCCCTAGCCCTGTCCCCCTCTTTCACTGTTTTCTCCGAATGAGTGAAGGGCACCTTTGCATGTGGGTGAAGAACCCCAGTGTCACTCTGTCTGAACACCCTGGCCCCTTTACATGAAATCAGCCATCAGACTTCCTGCACTCGTCTCTCCTTACTGGAGTAAGGCTTGGTTTCCTACTTAGTCTCCCCATCTCTTGTCTTTTCTCTTTGCTGTATCCCAGGCTCTAATTTTCTGCAATGATGTGCAGACTCATTCTAAAAGATGTTGCTTGCCTCCCAGCTTCTGAAAGTCCATTGCTGGCGTCCCCTAAGCTTTGAAGTCACATTTTCTTTGGCGTACGTAGATCTCCAGTCTTAATTCTTTCCTCCAGTTCTGCCCCATCCCCTTTCCCGGTGCAGCCTGAACTTGGTGCCCAGAGCATGCTACACTGCTGAGCTTCGCCGCTTCACATAATCTCTCTCTCTTCTAGATAGCTGCACATCCCTTTTCCTTTCTGGATTAATCTTCCTATTTCCTGTCTCTAGCCCTTTATCTCCCAACCCCTTTCTGTCCTTCAAGACCAAGCAAGTTTTGCCTCCCAGGAATGTTCTGTCTCCATCCTTTGCCACCCTCCTCCCACTCCAGACTGTTAATTCCTCACTTAAAGACTCCAGATCCACTTGTGGTGGACATTGAGGTGATGTTGCTGAGGGGGGAAGGGTAGGGGACCTAGAGTCAAACGGTCCACGAGTCCTAGACATTTTACTGTCTGTGAGACCAGCCCACCCCTCACTTTTCACAGATGTGAAACTAGCCTTATAATACTGTGATGTTTTCCTGGCATGGTGCCATGACAATTAAATAATACATGTGAGTAAATCTCACCTCTGGATTTCACTCACTGTTTTCAGAGTACCTTCCCCGCTGGCTCTTGGTGAATGTTCACTATGCCACCCCAGAGCACAGACGGATAGTGCTTTAGAACAACACTGCCTTCCTGCTCCTCCACTCTCAGCTCTGTTCATTGGGGAAGAGCCAGGACCAGACGAACACTGAAGTTGCCCTTATTCCATAATTCTTTAGAGATAGATTTGAGTCTCGTGTTTTCTTAGGCATGAGAACCCCCCCATCCCACCCGCCCCATTTCCTCCAGGAGAAAGAGCATCCCTTGCCAGCCCTGGGATGGGGATGTTTTGTCTTGGAGTGGTGTTCAAGTCAGTTTAGTGGGAACTCCATTAACGTTTTCATGGGAAAGATGGAATTGGCCAGCACCCTACTTCTGCCTTCCAGCTTTGCTAGACTTCTGGCTGGGCCCATGGAGAAGAATCCAGTGATGCATGAGTTGAAGCAGCCCAACTTCTTCCCTGTGGGCCAGTCAGCAGTAGTCCGGGCTACACCTTAGGATGAGTGTTCTTCCTACACATGTATTTCTACTTTTGAACCCAAGTTCCAATGGGAGCGTAAAACACGCTACTCCAAACGAGATGCCCCCCCCCACTAATTCTTTCTACCACACACAGAGAGCAAAGAAGCCAGTGCAAGTGAATAGAACTTCTCCAGAGAGACTTCTGACCACCATGCATGAAGCCCTCAACCGTCACTCTTGAGATAGTAATATCTAGGGAAGGTATGTGTGCAGAGGAGGACACTGTGCGGATTTCGCTTTTCTTTTTCTTTCCACCAGACCTACTGTTGACTTTTCACAGATTTCCCAGCAGAAAAATGAGGGTGGATGATAGCAGAGGAGAAGAATGTTCCACTGTGGCCAGTTCATGCTCCTCCAGAGAGTGACTTGCCTGCACGTGCAAGGGCGGCTGGGAGTCCCAGTTGGCTCGTGAAGCCAGTGGGAAGGCTTTGTTATTCCCTGGGAGCTAGGGTGCAGTGACCTCCGTCTTTCTTTCCTCTGGGAGGATATAGCTCACACTGGCTCATGTCCTGTTACATACTGTCACCTCAGATGGCCTCGCAGCTGAACCACTAAGAAAGTTAGCAACAGCCCTGCCTACACAGTGTCTTACTGGCTCCACCACCCATAAGTATATCAAGTCTCTGGCCATCCTCCACTTACACAGTGAGGGAAGCTAGGGAAAGGGTAGTAGAGGTAATGGTTTTTCTTTTTTTAACATGATATTTAGCACCATTTTGTTAAGGAAAAAGCAAGTAGGCCTAAATTTAGGGCAAGGGAGCTGAAATATTGATGACCTACAGGGGAACTTTCTTCCCAAGCAACACAGGATTGACCTATGACTTATGGTCCCTGAGAGGGCTTGTGTATTAATACCCAACTTGCAAACTCAACAGTGTGTAAGAACTGCACGTATTTCTTGTCACACTTGTTTCTTGTCTCACGAGTATCTGCTATTTATACCTAAGATACTGCAACCAGTTCGTGAGCTTGCTTTTTAATGCCTCCAGACTGCTGTGCCCCCTGCCTGTCTTATGGCAGGTACGGTGGTTTGAATGAGAATGACTCCCTTAGGCTCAATTTGATAATCGGTCCCCAGTTGGTGAAACTGTTTGGGAAGGATTAGGAGGTATTGTTGGTATTGGTTTTATTGACACAGCATAGTTCTATAGAATCCTGTAAGTGTTGCCTTGTGGGAGGAGGTGTGTCACTGTGGGAGGAGGTGTGTCACTGTGGGA